AGAGGCACCCCGAGGAGCCGCCCTGCCGCCGCCGCCCCTTCTTCACCCTGCAGCAGATCGAGGAGCTGAAGCAGCAGCACAGCCAGGTGCAGGCCCCAGCTGAGCCAGAGGCCAGTCCACCGGTGAGTGCAGCTGCCCGTGCCCCAGCTCCTCCTGGTGCTCGCCGGGCCTGGCCGCACTGTCAGCTTTCTCTCTCATGCAGGCACCTCTTGGCCCTGTCACCTACCACGCAGTCCAGGCCATCCCAGGAGCAGAGCCCCCCATCCTCTCGCAGGATTCCCTGGGAGGGGCCACCATCATTTACGAACAAGGTGAGTGGGCTCCCAGGGAAGGGGACGTGGACGGGGAGGAGGTGGGCGAGCGTGTGCCTGACCCTCTGCTCCCGACCCCGACAGATGTGGCTGGATCAGCAGAACTGGCCACACAGACTGCCCTGGATCTGCTGAACATGAGCGCTCAGCGAGAGCTGGCCACGGGCTCGCTGCAGGTGAGGAGGGCTGGGGGGGCTGTGCCTGACGGGGGGCAGCAGTGCGAGGCTTCGCAGCCCTCCACAGTCTCCGCGGTGCCCAGCCCTGTTCTGCTTCAGGGGACGTCTTGCAAAGCCTTGCCTTCCTGCGGCTGAGCCACTGTCCCCCTCGCAGGTGGCAGTGGTGAAGCCAGGCGATTCGGGAGAGGCACCAGCCCCCTGTGAGCCGCAGGGACAGGAGGAGGGGACCGAGATGGACTCGAAGGAGCAGCAGCAGGAGTTGGTGACACTGCACATGACAGAGCCTGGGGAGACGCTGGTGCAGGAGGCTTACGAGGAGGCAACACTGGGTGGCTCAGAGCTGCAGCAGATCACAATCCCCTTTGGCGGGACGGCAGAGTACAGCATCATCACACCCATCAGCGAGGAGATTCAGGCTCCAGGCACGCTGTACAGGTCAGCTGTGGGGGGGGAGCGGGGAGGCAGAGGCGCTTCTGACCGCAAACGAGGAGGACGAGGGAGATCCTCCCTGACCCTGTCCTCTCCAGCAGCGAGGAGGAGAGCCCTGCGGAGACCTCCCATGCGGTTGTGGTGAGTGAGGCTGTGATGACAGAGGAAGCCCTGAAAGAGCAGAACAATCACTATATCATGTCGTCCAGCATCTCGGGGAGCCAGTTCCATCACATTGAGGTAAGGAGCTGAGCTTTCTCCCCGTCCCGGAGAGCAGCATGGGCAGGTGTGACGGGGTGTTTCTCTCTCAGCCCCTCAGCGGGGACACTGCCTTTCCCTCTCCTGCGGAAGGCCAGGAGGCACAGCCCCCCGGCGTCAAGTGGCCCCCAGTGCAGTGTGTCACCAGGCAGCTCCAGAAGGACTCGTCTTTATCCCCAGCCTCCGAGGGGCAAGAAATCTCATCCCCAAAGGTCAAGTGGCCTGCACTTCAAGGCATGGCCAAGAAGCTCTCGTGCAAGGTTTCCACAGCCAAGAAGCTCTCGTGCAAGATTTCCACAGCCAAAAAGTTTTCATGCAAGATTTGCACAGCCATGTTCACAGGGAGAGCAGAAATGGAGAGTCACAAGAGAGCCCACATTGGGCCCAGCACTTTCAAGTGTCCCGACTGTCCGTTCACTGCAGCCCTCTGGCCGGAGGTTCGGGTAGGTTCCCTGGCACAGAGCAGCCCTGGGAACAGGAGGTTTGGAGAAACGGGGGCTTTCTGACCTTGCACTTGTCCTTCTGCCCTCAGAGCCACATGGTCCAGCATGCCAGCCTTCGGCCGCACAAGTGCACCCACTGCAGCTTCGCCTCCAAGAACAAGAAGGACCTGCGCAGGCACATGCTGACGCACACCAACGAGAAGCCCTTCGTCTGCCAGATCTGTGGGCAGAGGTGAGTGAAGCCTGCTAGGCTGTTGCTGCTTCAAGACACCTGCAGAGCTCTCCAGGGCTCAGGAGGGGGTAGGATACTGGCGAGGAGCTGGCTGCCCCGACCCCACCCCTGGGAGCCATCCCCTGTTAGAGGGACTCTGCCCTTGAGAGCAGTCCCTGCTGCGGGCAGACACAGCTTCGTCTCCAAGGAGCTTCTGCATGGGGAGGTTCAGTGCTTGGGCACTGATGGAAACGTTCTGGGAGCGAGGACAGGCTGTGTCGTAGGACGTGCTCGTGGTGCCCGTGGCCTGGGTCTCTGCAGAGACTGCAGAGGCCATGCGCTGCCCATGGCAAACCCCACCTCGCGCTGTTCCTCCTGTAGGTTCAACCGTAACGGGCACCTCAAGTTCCACATGCAGCGTTTGCACAGCTCGGAGGCGAAGAGGCTGGGGGCACCGGCAGCTGCCGCCCAGACCATCATCCTGAACAGCGACGAGGACACGCTGGCCACCCTGCAGAGTAAGACGTGTCCCTGCGACCAGGGGTGGTCAGCGGGGATTCACCCAGCCCCTGGGCCGGGCAGGGCTGGGAAGGGTCGGGGCCGGGGGATTCCTGCCGAAGCTGAGGGTTGCCAGGCGCCGGCTGCTGCAGTTCTGCACAGAGCCAGGGGTCCGAGCAGGTCCCAGGAGATCTCTGCGTTGCGGGAACAGCAGTGCTGCGAGCAGCTGGCAGCTGAAAGGGGAAGCAAAGTTTGTGCTCTGATGTGGAGGCTGTGTTTTGCTCACAGTTTCCTTCATGTTGGGAGAGTTTGGTTTAGCTGCTGACCTGCTGTGAGCAGAGCTATGAGACCGTCCTGTGCTCCTCGCTGGGGTGGGCACCCGGCGGGGGCTGCTCGGG